TGTGTAATGAATTATATGTTGGGTCTTGGGCAGAAATGGTGCCTGGTTCACCAAGCACCAAGATGGGCGTCGCACTGAGGAAAACATTTTCAGGTGTCCCACAAACAAGCCTTGACAGAAGCTTGGCGGGAAAGGCTGAGGGCTCCTAAGAAGACCAGCCTAAGATTCACACTTCCAACTCGTGGCCAGATTTGGTTCTGAAAGCAGCTGTTACACAAACAGAGGGATGAAGAGGGTGACCAGATGCTGGGTGCTCTGCAGTGGAATAACTGAATTACCTCCCTAAAATCTCACAAGGCTTGAATGTCACTAGTTGAATGCCAGGCAGGGCCAACCCATTAACACAGAACGTACGCATGTGTGTGGCCCTGGGTTCAAACTCCAGCCCTTACACAAACACACTCTGAAGATGACAATTGTATTAGCTGTGACTCCCAAGAACCTGTATGTTCGTTTGTAGCCTGTTCCATATAGAAACATTGTGGCAATGGTGTAGAGTCTCCTTTAGTCATGAACACCCGCTTGTTTCACTGGCACAAGGGCCACAGCTGGGGCTGCTAGTCAGTGACTTGTCTCTCACTATTCAGAACACACAGGGCTTTGTCCTCTGCACCGCTGATCCAGTCTTTCATCACTGGTTCTCTGCATCCTGGCCTTGTTCAGAAGTGAAATCATTACACACTGCGCCTGCAGGGCAGGCAGGCAGGCAGGCAGGCAGGCAGGCAGGCAGGCAGGCAGGAAGTGCTTCAAAACCTGAAGTGTGGGTTTGGGGGCAGCTAGATCAGGCCCAGCTTTGGGGTTACCCCATTCACAGAGATTAATCTCAGTGACCCTTCTTTATGTTCCCATCAGCAACTTAGAAACGGTCACAATTTGCTCACGCCCTTCACCCACAAGGGCCTCTGCGCTGGAAAGACAGCAGTTTTGTGGTGCTGAGCGTCCTTTGAAAGCTCTGGTGAAGGAAGCATTGCTTTCAGGACTTGGGGGGCAGGAGAAGGCACAGCTTGTGCAGGGTTGCCGGAGTTCAAAGCCTTGCTTTTAATCCCAAACCATTTTTCTTTTTGCTTGACTTTTATTTCTTTCTGGGTGGCTAAGCTGCAAACTTCTATTAATCTACTGCCAAGTAACTTTTCTTAAAAAGGTGGATAGGTTGCCCAATCCACACCCAAGACACGGCTCTCGGGAATGCTGGTAGGACAGTTTTGTGTGGCTGAAAATGGGGGAAAGTCAGCACCATTTTCTCTAGGGAGCAGATTCTTCCTGGGCTTTGGGTGTGAGCTGCTGGAACACAAATGGACTGGTAAATTTGGAAATTCGATCCCCTGGCAATCAGAGATCTTGGGGCAAAGAAGCCTAAGCATCTCTGCAGTTTCCAGTTCTGTGTTAGCAGAACAGCCAAAATGTCAGCTGTGGTGATGAATACCTTCCAAGTCACACACAGGCAGCGGGAGAGAAAGCCCAACATCATGAAGTGACATTTAGCATTTAGGGACAGCGTGGAAGAAAAACAGAAACAGCCAAGAAGTGGTTGCTGGAAGGGACATTTTACCCGATTTCTGCCCTTCCTTGTTAAAACAAAGAGACTTCTTAACATGGCTTTCAAACTTGCACACCACACACCACTCCCCATTCTCTTCTGTCTCTGTGTCTTACACACACACACACACACTACACATATACCCCCCATACACACACATACACACTTTAGCTCTTTGCAGTAATTTTTTTTTTTTTTTTTTTTTTTTTTTTTTTTTTTTTTGGTTTTTTGAGACAGGGTTTCTCTGTGTGGCTTTGGAGCCTATCCTGGCACTCGCTCTGGAGACCAGGCTGGCCTCGAACTCATAGAGATCCGCCTGCCTCTGCCTCCCGAGTGCTGGGATTAAAGGCGTGAGCCACCAACGCCAGGCTTAGCTCTTTGCAGTATTAACAGTTTCCAGAAGTAACCAGAACTAATCATGTCAACAAATACAATTCCTTTTCTTTGTGTGTGCCTGTGGTAGAGGCGGGGTGGTTTGAGAAAGTGTCTCCCTGTATAGCTCTGGCAGTTCTGGAGCTCTCTGCATAGACGAGTGTACATCCAAGCAGTGGGATTAAAAAGCATGTGCTACCATGCAGGGCTACAGGCAGGTTCTTAAAAGCGTAAGTGATCAGATGAACTAAAGTAAGTGGCCTGGATCGAGATATGAATGACTTTGCCTCCCAAGTGCTGGACTTAAAGGTACACAGGTGACTGCCTTTATTCCTTTTGTTGTTTTTGTTTTTTTGTTTTGTTTGCTTGTTTTGAGACAGTTTCTTTGTGTAGTCCTGGCTGTCCTGGAACTCACCCTATAGACCAGGCTGGCTTTGAACGCACAGAGATCCACCTGCCTCTGCCTCGCAAGTGCTGGCTCAAAGGTGTGCACTACCACTGCTCTGCCTGTCTTTAATCTTTGTTGGTTTTGTTTGTTTGTTTGTTTGTTTGTTTTTCGAGACAGGGTTTCTCTGTGTAGCTTTGGAGCCTATCCTGGCACTCGCTCTGTAGACCAGGCTGGCCTCGAACTCACAGAGATCTGCTTGCCTTTGCCTCCCGAGTGTTGGGATTAAAGGCAAGCGCCACCAATGCCTGGTGCCTGTTTTTAATCTTAATAATCAACACAGACCAGTCCACCAGACATCTCTATGATGTATATTCTTGAAGGAAAACATGGATTTTTTTTTTTTTTTAAGATTACTTGATTTAACTTGTTCACCATGACTGCTTCTCCGTGTTATTTGGGCCTTTCTTTGTTTTGATGGACTACAAGCTTTAGTTTTAATTGGCTTGCACAGGGTAACCCAGGAGAACTGTGAAAGTCTGAGCTATTTAAAGCTGCACAGACTTTGCTTAATGCACAACCCTTTTAGGTTGGTGCTATTGAATATGAAGCATTCATTGGAAATCAACTGGCAGACAAAGTCTCAAAGCAGTCTAGTTATGAGCTACCCAAAGAAACGGACCACATCGAGATCATTACAGTGGCTTCATTTCAGGAAAAACAAACAAACAACAAAAATAAGACCCACTAAGGCACTGGAGAGAGGATATTTCAGTGGTTAAGAGCACTGGCTGTCCTCACAGAGGACTCAAGTTTGACTCCCAGTACCCACATGGTGGCTCACAATCATCTGAACTCCAGTTCCAGGGGATTCAACACCCTCTCCTATCTTCTGAGGGCAGCACGCATGTACGCAGTACACATACATATGCAGGAAAAGCTCTCACACATATAAAATAAAAATAAATAATATTTTTTTTAAATGTTTGCTGTCAAGCGGTGGTAGTGCATCCTTTTAATCCTAGCACTCAGGAGACACAAACAGGTGGATCTCTGAGTTCAAGGGCAGCCTGGTCTACAGAGTGAGTTATAGGACAGCCAGGGCTACACAAAGTAACCCTCTCTCAGGAAGGAAGGGAAAAAAAAAGGAAAAAAAAATGTTTGCTGCTTAAGCTTGAGGAGTTGAGTTCAAGTCCCCAGTGTCCACATGTCTGCTGTAACCCCAGCACTGGTGGTGGGGGGGGGGGGACAGAAGCAAGAGGCTCGCTGGGTCCTTCTGGCCATCAGACAGACTCCAGGTTCAATGAGACCCTGTCTCAAGGACATAAGGTGGAAAGTAATAGAATACCTAATGTCTTCCCTTAGACCAGTGGTTCTCACCCTTCCCAATGCTACAACCCTTTAATTCTGTTCCTCATGTTGTGGTGACCACCCAATCCCAACCATAAAATGATTCTTGCTGCTACTCCCTAACTACTGTTAGGAACCATAATGTAAATATCTGATATGTGACCCCTGTGAAAGGGTGGCTATACCTCCCAAAAGGTCAAATTCACAGGTTAAGAACTGCTCCAGACTCTTGTGTATATATATGCACAGATGTATGCTCCCACACATATACCACACATACATACAAACACACACACACACACACACACACCAACTATAGAAAAGACTGTTGATGGGGTATAGAGAAATACTTGAATCCATCACAACCCTGTGACAGACCACGGTCCTCACTTTCATTGTAAGAGTAAGCAAGAAATACACAGAACTATTTGATCAAAGAAACAAAAGTTGTTCCCATGAATATCCTTATAAAAATGCCCAAACTAGCCAGGGGTGGTAGTGGCACACACCTTTAATCCCAGCACTCGGGAGGCAGAGACAGACAGACCTCTGTGAGTTCCAGGCCAACCTGGTCTGCAGAGCTAGTTCCAGGATGGCCAAGGATCTACAAAGAAATGGGGGGGGGGGGAGAGAGAGAGAGAGAGAGAGAGAGAGAGAGAGAGAGAGAGAGAGAGAGAGAGAGAGATGCCCAAACTGAACCTGTTAATAAGCAGTCTTTCGCCACCTTGGAGAAATAATTGTGGAAAAGCAAAGCAAAGGTACAGGGGAGGGTAGTCATGGAGAACTCTAGAACTGTAAGTTGGTCTTTATCCCAAAGGCTTTGAACCATGTTATTATGTGGACCTACAGGATTGCCAGGTGAACGCTTACCAAGCAAAAAGGTTTTAATTTTAAGGGAAAACTAACAAATGTTTAGGAAATCTCTTTCCCACTAGGTGTCTCTGGGGGAAATGCAGGAATTAAGATAGTCTTCATCAAGCCTAGGTTGCATTCTTCTCCCTATCTCTAAGCAAATTACATAAAAATCTAACTGAAATATTTTGCTTCTCCAGTAGCCGCTTGAAAGCTGCCCCAGATCGGGGGAAGAAATCCGATGCTGGACATCATAGTGACTTCAGTAGCTTACATTTTGTCCCACCTGTGAAATCACCCTACATATGTTTTATTATTCCATATAGCAAAGATTCAGATCTGTGGCAACCAGCATATTCACCTCAAAGGCCACCGCCAACTGCTCTTCCAAATACTGGGAAGATGCGACAATACCCCTTTGTCAGAATCCACCGAAACAAACAGGAAGTAGTTATACTTCGGTAAATATCCCGGAACTAAATCTCTTTTTTTTTTCTTCCAAAGCTTCCGCAGGTTCACTCGGTCCAACAGTGTGACCACCGCAGTGCAGGCTGACCTGGACTTCCATGATAATCTGGAAAATTCCCTGGAATCTATAGAGGACAATTCGTGTCCCGGCCCGATGGCCAGACAGTTCTCCCGGGACGCCAGCACGTCCACCGTCAGCATCCAGGGTTCAGGGAACCATTACCATGCCTGCGCAGCCGATGATGACTTTGACACGGATTTTGACCCCTCCATCCTGCCTCCCCCGGACCCCTGGATTGACTCAATCACAGAAGATCCTCTGGAGGCCGTTCAAAGGTCCGTGTGCCACCGGGATGGCCACTGGTTCCTGAAGCTTCTCCAGGCAGAGAGAGACCGCATGGAAGGCTGGTGCCAGCAGATGGAGAGAGAAGAACGGGAAAACAACCTCCCCGAGGACAGTAAGTAGCGCCGTCACTCGTGTCTGTGACTGTGGTGTGGGCCGTGCGGGTTTGTGTTCCTAGGCTTTCCGGTTTGCATTTCTGCCAGCTCAGCCTGTGAAACCTTCTGTTTCACGCACCAAACTCAAACTCCTGGAAGAGCTGGGCAATTCCACTGAAACACCAGAAACTGGTATACTGCACGATAAGAGAGAAAGCCACCGAGCCGATGCCACACCCTCCGGCTCTAAGACCTGTAGCTTTCCTTTCCTGCTATGAAACACATTCAAGATCAGCATGGCAGTGGTCTCAGTGTCTCCCAGAATCCACACTTCCCCCAACAGGATCTTGAAATGCGTCTGATCCCAATTCTAACTAGCTGGGCAGTGGTGGCGCACACCTTTAACCCCAGCACTCGGGAGGCAGAGGCAGGTGGATTTCTGTGAGTTCAAGGCCATCCTGGTCTACAGACGGAGTTCCAGGACAGCCAGAGCAGTACAGAGAAACCCTATCTTGAAAAAATCAAATATGATGAAACACCATGAACAAAAGCAAGTTGGTGAGGAAAGGTTTTATTTGGCCTACACTTCCACATCACTGTTCATCATTGAAGGAAGTCAGGACAAGAACTCAAACAGGACAGGAACCTGGAGGCACGAGCTGATGCAGAGGCCATGGAGGGTACTGCTTACTGACTTGCTCCTCATGGCCTGCTCAGCCTGCTTTCTTATAGAACCCAGGACCACCAGCCCAGGGATGGCCCCACCCACAATGGGCTGGGCCCTCCCCCACAATCACTAACTAAGAAAATGCCCTACAGGCCTGCCCACAGCCCATTCTTACTGAGGCATTTTCTTAATTGAGGCTCCCTCCATGGTGATTTCAGATTTGTCAGGTTGATAACACTAATAACCATCACAATGTGTGTGTGTGTGTGTGTGTGTGTGTGTGTTGGGTATTATAATCTTTATAGTTTTATTAGTCTTATTAACATGTAATATTAAAATAACAAGTGTATAGGCCAATAGAAACCCTGCTTATTGCATCTTTCAGCCTGTTTGGTTCTTTTTTCCCCTTTTTTAAAATTAGAAACAAACTTCTTTTATATGTGAATCCCAGTTCTCCCCCCCCCAACCCCCCACCCCCTATCCTAACCCCTTTCTGCTCCCAGGAAGGGTGAAGCCTTCCATGGGGGAATCTTCAAAGTCTGTCATATCATTTGGAGCAGGGTCTAGACCCTCCCCCATGTGTCTAGGCTGAGAGTATCCCTCTATGTGCAGAGGGCTCCAAAAGTCCATTCGTATACTAGGGATAAATACTGATCCACTACCAGAGGCCCCATAGATTGTCCAGACCTCCAAACTGACATCCTTGCTCAGGGAGTCTGGAACAGTCCTATGTTGGTTTCCCAGCTATCAGTCTGGGGTCCTGTTTGTTTTTTGAGACAGGGTCTTACATAACCCAGGCTAGCCTGGAGCTCAGAAGCAAAAGATAACTTTGTACTTTTCAATCTTCCTACTTGCACCTCCCAAGTGCTGGGGTTATAGATGTGTGTCAGTCCCCCAAGTTCTGGAATTATAGGCATGCACCACCATGCAGGGCTAGCTGACCAGTTTATTTTGTTGTTTTGTTTTCCTTTTTGAGACAGGGTCTCACCTCATAGCTCTGGCTGGCCTGGAACTTTTATGTAGACCAGGCTGTCCTCAAGCTTATAATGATCAGTGAGCCACCTGCCTCTGACTCCTGGGTGCTGGGATTAAAGGTATGTGCCAGCTGCCTTTTTGTTGTTGTTGTTAAAGACTTATTTATGACTAGAGAGATGGCTCAGCAGTTGGGAGCCCTGGCTTTGGAGCCCTGGCCCCTCTTCAGGAGGATTCAGATTCAATTCAATTAAAATACAACCTCAAAAACAAAAATGAAAGGGAGGAAGGAAAGAAGGAAAAGAGGAAGAAAGGAGAGAATAAAACATGGCAGCTCACAATTGTCTGTAGATCCTTGGGATCTGACACCTGACAGGCACGCAGACAAAACACCAATGCATATAAACTTTTTAAAAACAAATTTTAAAGACTTACTCATTTTTGTGTGTATGAATGTTTTCCTGCGTGTATGTCGTGTGCACCAAGTGTGTATCTGGTGACGGTGGAGATCAGAAGAAAGCATCAGATCTCCTGGTACTGGCCTTAGAGATGATTGGTGTCCTCCAAAAGGGCGCTGGGAACCAAACCCAGGTTCTCTGCGAAAGCAGCAAGGGCATTTGGGTGCTGCACCGTCCCTCCAGTCCCCCTCTGGCCACTTCTGACTGATTGAAACCAAACTCTTTTTTTTTTTTTAAACCAGTCTAATGGCATGCCCAGTTAGGTTACTACTCCTTACGAACAAAGTATCCTTAGAGCTATATAGGAGGCAACTTTAGGCTAGACTAAACTCTGCTGTAGGCTAATAGAAATTAGCAATGTGGCCCGGGTGGTGGTACATGCCTTTAATCCCAGCACTCCAGAGGCAGACACAGGTGAATCTCTGAGTTGGAGGCCAGCCTGGTTTACAGAGGAGTTCCAGGACAGCCAGGGCTACTTAGTGAAACTCTATGAGTGGGTGGGGTTTGGGGAGAGAGGAATGGGCCTTGTGGATTGTGCAGGGGTGAGTCAGAGGCTCCAGCTGAGCAGTGAGATAAAGAAAGAAAAAAAGAAAGAAGGAAGGAAGGAAAGAAGGAAGGAAGAAAGAAAGAAAGAAAGAAAGAAAGAAAGAAAGAAAGAAAGAAAGAAAGAAAGAAAGAGCGAGCCAGCCCACAGGGCCTCAATCCTACACAAAGAAAGTAACATTATATGAGCTCAACAGGTTATATTTAGGAATATATATATATATTCCTATACATATATTCACCATAACAATTGATGAAAAAGGAGGCCATGAGTTTGAAGGAGAGCAGGGAAAGGTAAGAGGGAGAAATGTTGTGATTAAAATACAACCTCAAAAATAACTAAAAAAGAAAGAAAATGAAAGGGAGGGGGAAGGAAGGAAAAGACGAAGAAAGGAGAGAATAAAACTATAGGTCATTTCAAAGTGGTGAGTGACTCTGAAAGAACAGCTCGACTGTTTATTGTTCCGAGCTGGTTTGCTGTTGGGATGTGCTGGGTGTGGCTGCCAGGATTTGGGGGTGCCCACCCACTCTCGGGGCCTCCTTCCAGACTCATTTATGGTAGTCTACATTCTCATTTTCAGAAGAAAAGCTTCGTAAGGTCAGAAGTTACTCATTTTCTGTTTTGGTTTTTTGCATTTTTTGAGAGTGTCTCTCTATATAGTGCAGGCTTCCCTTGAACTCACAGATCCAACTGCTTCTGCCTCCCAATTAAAGGCCTACACCATGACTACTTCCAACAAGAAGTTATTCTTGTCTTATTCTCCTTGACATTTCTACCCTCTCTGACTCGTAAGATGGGATCGTTAAATATACATTTAAATCTTTGAAATATTTTACGAAACTTAAAAAAATCTCATTTATTCATTTATTTATGTGTATGGGTGTTTTGTCTGCATGTATGTCTGTGCACTGTGTGACATGCCAGGTACCTACAGAGGCCAGAAGAAGAGGGGAGTCAAATGCCCAGAGATTGGAGTTACAGATGGTTGTGAACTGCCATGCGGGTGCTGGGAATCAAAACCAGGTCTTCCGCAAGAATGGCCAGTGTGCTTAGCCACTGAGCCGTTTCTCCAGGCCCCAGTTTGGTTTTGTTTTTAACTCAGCAACAACTTTCTTCCTATGTAGGTAGGAAGTTCTTAGTTATTGCCTTAGTCTGGTCAGGCTGCTACAGCCAAGGGACTGGACTAGGGAGTCTCAGATCAAGGCGCTGATGGAGCCCACCTTTTAATACCAGCATGGATCCTTCTGGAAGCATTGTCAGGTGGTAGAAAGGTTACACATGCTCCCCCAGATCTCATTTAGGAAGTCACTAATCCAGTTCATGAGATTCCCACCCCCATGACCTAATCATCTTTTTCTATTTTTTATTTTTTTCTTTTGACACAAGGTTTCTCTGTATAGCCCTGGCTGTCCTGGAACTCTGTAGACCAGGATGTCCTTGAATTCATGGATTTCCCTGTCTCTGACTCTCAAGTGCTGGGATCAAAGGCGTGCAATACCACCATCTGGCTCCTAACCATCTCTTCTAGGCTTCTTCCTCAGTGAAGAGTTTCAACATAGAATTCTGAAGGGACACAAACATTCAAATCACAGCAAGTAACTAGCAGTTATCGTTGCCATAAAAGCTTCAAGGATCATCCCCATTGTGCTATGTGGCCTCCAGGGATTAGTGGGTAGGTTTGGCAGGGGTGAGAGCACCAGGTAGATAGCTAGGTGCGCCCCAATTTCCTGTACAGCTTCTAAGACACAGTTTTATTACACAAGCACTTGAAACGGGTCTCCATGTCTCCATTTATCTTATGCCCCAAGCCATAATTTTATCTGCTGGGATTCCCAATTTCTGAGTTAGCTCGTAATTCCAAAGACAAAACAAAAAACAAAACAAAACAAAACAAAAAACCATTGCCAATTTCAGATGATGCAAATCCAAGTTAGTAGGAACCCAGACCTCTGTGGCAAGAAGCGCTCTGAGAACCTGCTGTGTCCTCACACCCCTAAGAGTGGGCAGGAGCCTTTGACAGGTGCCATTTTGTTTGCCCTCCAAAGAGCTCTCTGGCAGTGTCTTATCTGATGTCACAGAACACAGAAGTGTCTGACAGGCCAGGCACAACAGTTGACAAGATAATGACACTGGGTGTTGCTTGGCAAGACCCTCAGGAAAGCCCGCCACATGTATTTGCCCCTGGCTCCTTGACAGTTATCCCTCTATTCTGTGTCCCAAATCCTCTGATTCCTCCTTTCTTTCTTCTCTCTCAGCCCCAGTTCTCTGAGAAGAGCTAAATCCTAAGTAACCAGCTCTTGTTTGTTTGAATTTGTGGATAACAGAGAAAGCATCAAAGCAAAGCAGCTACATCTAGGTTGTCCAGGTCCTATGATGTGT